ATAGAACTACAAATGTGCACAACACCTCACATAAATAAAATGGGGGTTTCTTTAAATGTCAGTGAGCTCAAGAGCGTTGTCCTCCAAGGCATTTTTTTCTAAGCAAGAACTGATTTTGTTTGTTTGTGTGCCAAGACCACGGGAGTTTAGGGACAGATGTTGTGTGGTCTCCAAGCAAAGAGGAGGATTTACCCAAGTGGGTTCCCAAGTACTCTGTGTCATTAACCCTGTCTAGTCCTTAGGCGTTGTTAAACATTTTGAGTACAACAGAAAAAATAACCACTCCCAGTCTATTGCATGGGGTTGGTTGGGCACGGAGGGATGAAGTGCACTGCACACTGACTGACCTACAGACTGTGGTTGTAGTCTGGTTACTTATCCCATTCCATTTGTTCCTACTGGGACCGAGTTGCCCGGAGGTGCAGGCTGGGGTTCCCTTTTCTAGCCTGTGATGGCAACGAGCAGCGGGGCACACTGATTTTGGGAGCAGTCAGCCCTTCCCATTTTATCTTCTTGAGTACTCAGTACTTTTCTCAGCAGACCAAATTCTCTCAAGGTGCTCGTGGTACCATACAACTTTCCTCTTTTTCCGCTCTTTTGGTCTTTTTGGTCTTCAGGTTGTAGTTTTCTTCCTTGGATGGAAAGGTTTATGGACTGCTCTACGGCCAAAGGTTTTATGAACTGGAAAAGATATCTGAGTCTACCAATTCCCAGCTCACTGAAGTGAGCTGTGCTTGTAAGGGAATTGATAGTTCTTCCCAGAATTTAAAGCTATTTGTTGGTAGCTCCTGGATTGGCAGGTTTTGCACTCAATATCAAGAAAAGGGTTTTTTGTAGTTTAGCACACTCTGAAATCTAGAGCTTCAAATCCTCATTTCTCTGAGGCTACAGACATTTTCCTCTTTTCTGCAGTGTCCTTTCCACAGTACTGGGCTATAACAACTCCATATGTATAAGAATTTTAGGAGGACATATTACATAATTATATGAGACAAGTCAGATATTTCAGGCATGAGAATTTTTTCTCTACCAATATACCATCTGTGTATTCATAAGATGGTTGTCTCAGACTTTAGTGACTCGTGTTTCAAATCCCTTTTTGGCTAGAAATAGCACTTACTGATGCTTCTATAGTCCTGTTCTTTTGGGAAATTTGCACTAAGGACTTCACAAGACAGCAGGCACAGCATTCAACCTTTGTAGCCAAAACTCATTGGGAAAATAAAGCCTTTTTCAGAAATGGAGTCAGATGATCTTTACTGGGGGTGGGGGGTGGAAGAGAAGGAAAAAAAAGAAGAGGCTAAAAAAAAAAGACATGTCCCAGATCAGTGTATTCTCCAGCTGGTATGTTCCCAGATTCCTAAAGAGATAACATGGTGTCAAGAAAAAGGATGTTGCAATTAGGCTGGGGCATAGCTACAGCACAGCAGGATCCTGACATTGTCATAGCCCTGTGCTATCACTGACCTTGGGATAGTGGAAGACTGTGCCAAACAAAATAAATAGAGTGTTCCAGTGCTGCTGCTCAGTTAAGGAAGATCAAAGAGAAATAACATTTAATCAGTGGTAGTTGTGGTGTTATGCACTAGCAATACTAATTGTTTTGATGACAATTCTCTCTGAAGACTTTTTTTTATTAGCTCTGAGTAATAACTGATCTCCTAATGTATTGACCTATAGCACTACCACAGCTCAATTAAGTTTCTTATTGTCCAAATCTAATCAGAGAAAAGCTGAGATTGAAAATCGATCCATTTCCTGCTACTTAATGACTAATTCCCCACAAATGTGAATATAGAGATTAACTTTTCAGGTTGAAAGTTTTTTTCAGAGGTAGACTCTGCCAGATGAACGTTTGAGAAGCAGCAGCGTGGCTTCTCTTTTCCCATCCATCTTCCTCCAACTCCTTGGCATATGCTGACTGTAGCTTTTGGTTTTTACTGTGGCTCTTGCTTTATCATGGCCTGTGGTGTGCGCTTATTCTCTGGTCTCTTAACCCATCTCACATAATTGCAAGGAACTGGTATTGATAATTGAAGGTCAACTCCTAAATTCTCATATATTTCTTCTCCGTATACCTCAAATGAGCATTTCTGCAGTGGCTAAAAACATCTGCAAGACAGGGTGACTTAGTCCTTAATAGTATTGTAAGAGCTAGTTACTGTCCTTGGAGGTCTGGGAAAGAATCTTCTCTGATCCCACTTCAGCCTCTGCAAGTTGTGAATTTTCCCCGTGAAGGGGAGAAATCAGATTTCTTGGCTCTTCTAAATATTTCTTCGTTATGTGAAGAACAGCTGCTTTTAAGCCTCCCCATGTGTCTATATGCATTCGTGTTCGCAGCATTAAAGCTACCAAGCAGAGATATAAGCAGTAAACATCCATGAGGTTTGGCAGTTCTCCCTGGTTCTTGCAAGTTGTATGACTCCCACTGCAGCAGCATCTGAAATAGTCGCAATCCTTTGTTGTGTTTATCCTCACAGCGCGCCTCTGAGGTGGGGATATCTCACAAATTTACACGTGGAGAACTGAGACCTGGATCTAAATAGTCAATTAGACTCTGGTCTTTGGTGGTCCTCGAGATTATCCTTGCCAGAGGCTCAGCCCTGTGGCTCAGCTGCTGCTGAAGCCTACAGACCCCCGGCTGTGGATGCTGCCCACTGCCCTGGGACCCTCCAGAAGCTGAAGCCAGGTGGCTGGAGGTAGTTCTCCTGGGTGGGACATTCCTACCTTACACTGCAGATGTGCTTAAGAGTGCAGCTATACCAGGCTCAGCATCTATGGGGGCAAAAGGCTGGAGGGCTTTTACTGTGACGATTAGCTCTGGGAAAGTGTATAAGGGTTTTTTTCACAGGTTTCTGTATTGTTCTTGCTCTGCAACTGATGCTTTATCTCTGATGTCTTATTTTTTTATTTTCCTTGCTGCAGAAAATACCATGCTGGTTTCTGCTTTGCAGCACTGAATTTTGACAGTGTTGAAAGGTTCAGGTCTCTACCCTGACAGCCTGAAGCCCAGATTCCTATGTATCGATCCATTGTAATCCTATGGGGTAATCCTGTGGGGTGATCTCTTTCCTGAGACTCAGCAAAACATAATCAGACTCATTTTTTGGCTGACTCGAGAGAAGACCTTGATTGCTCTGAAGGAATCTGGCTGGTAAAATCCATGCAGACCTGCAGTACTGGGTTGTGGTATTGCATGCTCCTATCCTGCATTTTTCCAGTGGGTCAGCCCAGTCAACCTTTTGTTTGTGTAAAACACAATAAAAAGGCTAGAGTCAAACCAGAAAATGACCTTTCTCAGAGATACCGAGCAAAGACTCACATGCTTTGGGTGTGAAGTGCTTTGGTACATGTATGACAAGCTGGAAGGAGATAATAACCCTTTGGAGATCGACTGGGAGAAGAGGGAGAAACAAGAAAACTGATAATGTTTTGCTGCCAGTAAAGGCAGCTGTTGGAGGAGCACAAAATGAATATGACTTCTGAAGCAGTGTAGTTATATTAACATGTAAGAGAAAAAAATACATCGATGCAGTTGCTTCATTGCGTATTGCATCAGCAGAAGCTGCAGTCCTGCACATGGATACTCTAAATATCATTGTCTGCTTTGATAATCTTGCTGCTTCTTGGATTACATTAGTGCCTAAGAGTAATACATTGAGCTTGGATTTCAAAAGGTACAAACTCTGATACAATAGTACCTTTTTTATTCATTTATTCGTATTTTGGAAGACAGAGGAGATACAAATCGCTAACCGTGAACAGAGTTTGTTAGGACCATGCTTGCTCTTTCCAGTTTCATCTGAAAAGTAAAAATAGCTTAGCAGAAGATTTTTAAACTAACTATCCTGGTAGTACACACAAGATGTGGTTGGGCAAGGCGCTCAGCTTTGAAATGTTTTCTACAAAACCCTGCTGCTATTCCAGGCAGTTTTTACATGCATCATTACCCCTCAAAACCCAACCAACATGCCCATTTTCCTCTGTCTGTTCCATGGTGGAGCAGGGACCCTGGATGCTCATCAGCCCTATTAGTGCAGCACTTGCTTCAGCTCATGTGGACATCACTGGCATCTGCGCTGTAACTGGGCATGAGCTATTGCAAGATCTTTCAGACATCTCCTGGAATTTCTCTGCGTAACGGAGTGATAATGTAGGGTGGGAAGGAACAGAGGATAAGGAGAAGGCTGAGAAGAAGGTCCCATCTATACCACACATCTGAACATCGAGTCTGGATCTGTTACAGCACCCCACCTCTAGCACAGCGTAGACACATGGTCCAATTCCACCTCCTGGAATTTCAGTAATGAAATTGAATTGTTCTCATCCTCACTTTATTCTCAATGCATATGAACAAGACGGCCCCAGACCTTTCGAAGGCATGTGATGTGCTTTTCTGTGCTGATGTGCTGCTACTCTGACTGAGAGTTGGGAGCAGGACAGGAACATCTGTATCTCTGGGATGCAAATCCCTTAACGTTTTATTAAATTGTTAATGGAAGCATGCATAGCTGCTGAAATTACTTCTGCTTCTGTGGAGCCAAATTCTTGGGTGCTCATTCATTGCCTGTTATGTCTCTGTAGCAGAGTTTTGCCTCGGAGAGCTCTGAGACTCAAATCCTCAGTGGTTATCTAAATGCATCTAAATGCTTTTCATTTAAAGGGCAGTTGGGGATAGGAGCCACAGAAGGACTTCAGCACAAGTAAGGTGTGATTAATTGCCTCTGGGAACAGGATCTCCAAAGTCTAGACAGAAGAGCTGTGTGAGGAAAGCCCTTGGAAATCCACAGCCAAAACATATGGACACCTTAAAGTGGTGAGAGACCTGGCTATGAGTGTGATTGCTCAGTACCCTTCGTTGCCTGTGTCCCTTTGAGGGCTTTGCCTTGATTGCTAAAGGCCCTTGGGGGTCTGTACTTGAATAACAACATTTGGATGTGTTTCAGTCCATTAAAGAGCTCATCCAATGAATAGTAACTCAGGGAAAAAACCTTTGACAGAGCTAGAAAGTTGTATGGAAATGCTTTGAGATTTATCACGATCATAAGCCCAATTCAAAACCCACTGAAGTAACTGGATCATTTGCATTGGCCCATACTGCTAAAAATATACATTGTGCTTAGTATCGTAGCGGCTAAGATGCCGATGAGAGGAAAAGAGAATTGTGAAAATTACCTTAGTTAAAGTACATTTTTAAATATGTTTAGTGGGGGAAATGCTAGAATCCAAATTTCTTTCTCCTAGAGGAGCTACTCAACCACTAATTTGTTAAAAAAAAAAGGTTGTTCTCTTTGTGATCCCTTTAATATTAGTTCACACAAGCTTGGGAACTCATCGTTTCCTGATCGATTCTGTGCTGTAGCTGGTGCTTTCTCCTGAGCTGCCCATTCATCTCATCTCAGGTAGGGGAGGGAAGTGAGTGTGGGGTTTCCACGTCCAAGCTGAGACCTTTCAGCAGGGAAAGGAAGTTGCATCATCCCACTGCTGTGATTGTGGAAAGTCTGTTTTGTAGGCAAGCACTGAAAACACTTGTTCGGCCAAAAGTATGTAGGAGATAGCTAGGAAGAGGCCTAGTCTGAGAATTGCAAGCACTAGAATCTCCCTGCCCGGGACTGTGAAGACTTACTTTGCGATAAAAAAGCATAATTTAAGATTAATGATTCCTCTGCTCCCCCTACAGCCAGTCAAGGTTAGAAGTCTCCGACACCTAATTGGAGCACTTTAGGTTGGCTCTTCGGAGAAGCCGCTCTCCATTGACCAAAGACCGATGCACGGCGCCGATCCAGAGCGTTGCTGTGGCTCTCACCCACAGGCGCTCCTGCTGACGGCCCCCTCCTGCTCAGCCTTGCCCTGTCCCTGGTCCCCTCCCCACTGGTCCCACCACCCTTGGTGGGATGCTCTCTCTGCCAGCCCTCCCTGCTCCAGCGCCGGGCATGGAGGCAGCTGACAACCTCTCACATTGACTCCTCTGGCATAGGAGAATAAGGGTGAGACATAACATGAATAAGAGAGGCAAGCTGTGCCTTACCCATTCTTAATCCACGCATCCTCAGGAAGTCTTGAAAATGTCTCTTTGTCTATTTTAAAGGTGCATCTGTCCTCACCTGCCCTTGAGCTGTGTATTCCCAGGGCAGTCAAATCTCTTCCAGAAGGACAAATGTACAGGCTGTGTCTTTTTGTGCTGCTGTGGTTAAGCTCTTGTTACATTAGTGTTCAGTTCTGTACAAAGGGGTGCTGGTGGGCACAGGCTGCAGCCCTGCAGGTCATCCTGCTGCCAGAGATGCTCAACCTTCCCGGCAGGTTCCAACGGTCACAGCCCGTACATCTCTCCCTTCTCATGCCTTAACACATAAAGTGCAAGAGTATGGTAAGTTATAGTAAGTTACAATTATTTTTTTCTGAAGGAGAGAATGAAAAAGTATTCATTTTTCTTACCTCCTTTACTCCTGCGTTTGTACTGCTGGCAGGAGCCCAGACCTTCATCCTCTTGGAAAACTATTGAGCAGCAACCTGCTCCCCAGTCATCACAGGCATCCCCCTCAGTGACCAAAATACCACCGCAGCTTTATCTCACGGTGAAAATGTCCACAGCATTCACGTACTGTAGTTTCAAACAGACTCAATGCTGTGGCTCTGCGAAGTGGGAGACCGTATCAGATGCATGATGTACGGAGGTGGGGATAAAACCTCAAGTCTGAACTTGGTCCCTCTACAGGAAAGATTGTGGGTAACAGCTGTTAGAGCTGTTGAGCAAATACACTTCAAAGGGCTTCTTACTTCTGAGGTTCTGTAAGATGGGGCTTGACCAGCGGCTATCGGCATCTGGGGTCAAATTTAAGAGGTTTGCTATAAAAAATACCCGTCTGAGCTTCTACCAGCAGCCAAAACTTCTGATTCTCAAAGTTATCATGTTCCCCGCTTACAAAGGTGAACTGGGTCCCTAGCAAACTTCTTAAAGGGGGGAAAGAAAACCCTACCAAAGTAGATAAAAAGGGTAACTCCTTCCTAAAGTGTAACAGAAACAACTGTACAAGATTTTTCCCATGGGAGACAATGCAAGGTTTCTTTTCACGTGCTGGCGCCCGACGATGCTTGTGCTGCTCCCTGCGCTGGCTGTGCCTCGCTCATCCCTCTTCGCTGCCTCGGCCCTCGGCAGAGCGTGGCACTGCCGAGCCCCGAAAGGGGCATCTCAGCTCCTGGGGAATCGGCGGCTGCTTCCTCCATCTTCTCCAAGCCTGGGATACAGAAGCCCTGTGCCACCTCCTGATCTCCCACCTCGGTGCTGGAAGCTGTGACCTTACATCAGTGACCGAGTCATGTCACCCATGGGCATGTGTAGGCAGCATGTTCAGCTTTCTATACACTACTCTAATTCAGTTTTCCCCCATTTATAGCAGAATTTCCCTCTTAATAGAAATGCATCTCAAACTTGATAAAACATTGCATGAAAAACAAAGCACCTCTCAGGCCCACCTATAGATTCCCGCAACCTCAGAGAGAGACCCTTCTGTTTTGGCTCCCCCCATCACTGGGGAATTTGGGAAAGTGTATTGCTTTTGGTTTTGTTTTTTTCTTTATGTTTTAGCCATATGCTAAAGCTTTAGCCATATGCTTTTTCATATGCTTTATGCTTTTTCAGTAACTTCCTCCCAAAGATGATCTGAATAGTTGGTCACACAGTTGCTTCAAAGATGATAGAAGCATCTTCAGCCAAGCAAATAAATATTTCTAGATATTTGATCAGTTTCCCCAAGACTTCAGTATGTAGAATTTGTTGATGCTATTTGCTGGAATATTCTTATTCTGGGACCCTTTGAAAGCCCCCCCCCCAGCTATGGGAAAAGCATCCAGAAACATTCTGGGAGCTAAGTACCTGCAAGACCACCTTCTCCAAGATTTAGAAGCAGAACAAGGGGGACTTATTTTTCTCTTTCTTTTTCCTTTCCTAATTGGTAGTTGTCTGTAGAGATAACCTTTTCTTCACACATCAGCACGTTGATCTAACTGGTCAGAAAAAGGACAGACAGGCAAGAGATGAGACTGGAGAAGCAGAAACAAAGGAATGACCAGTGTTTGGTCACTTGTGGAAATGACTGCTGTAAAAAGCCCAGGCAGGTATAGTTTGTCTTGATTTAGAGATGAAAAAGGTAAAGCAGGAGACAATGCTGGCATATAAAGTGAGAGTGCGCTTTTCAGTAGCACCGCTGCAGCAGAAGGGAACTGGTTGCTATCACATGTGGATTGATCACCTGGACAAGGGCTTGCAGAGGAGCCTGAAGAACCCACTGACTTGCCCAGTGGCTGGAGGCGGTGTTTCTTTACTGGTTTCTGAGGCATTCGCTGAGCTCATGTCAGAGTCCCGTATGAGATTAAACTACCCCCATATCCCCCCCTGCCCAAATCGGATGTTTGTCTTCCAGTGACCCCTGTCTCTGCCACTTGCCTTAGACTAGTCTTAAAGCAGTTAACAGTCTGTGTCTTTATGGAAAAAAAGGCCTTTACACCTTGCTAGGGCCTCACTGTATTTTAATAGTCAAACAATGTTTTACCAGAGCTGGCGTCTTTTGCTCTGTAATTGTTTTGTTTTTCTTTTACTCCATTTCATATTTATGAATCATTTCAAAACAGGCCAATGGAAGTCTTCAAGCAGGTTTCTAAACAAGTTTTGACAATGTTTTTTAGTTGTTCTGAGCTAAGGATATTACAAATCAGCAGGTACAGCCTGAAGAAGCGTGCCTTCCGTCCCTAAAGGACCTTTTACTGCATTTGCTCCCTAGAAGGAAGCAAATAGAGGTGGGAGGAAACAGTGTCAATGCCATTTGTTCACCTTACCAGGCTGTAAATGCCAAGGCAGCTCTGAGCAGCACCACTGCCTTCCTCACCTCGGAAGAGAAAAATTCGTTGTCTTGTCTGTGATGAAAAAATTAGAAGGATGCTTTTCTCCCTGCTGCGCCAGGCTGATGGCATGACTAGCACAAGAGGTAGGCACATCTTGCTTCTGCTCCTCTAATGGGAGACTGAATGACAATGTTCATGCTTCCCCAAGAATAATTTAGAAATGGTCTTTGGCATCTCCAGCCACTGACGCCTCCTAATACCCGCTTCATTCTTGGGCTCTTGAGTATTTCTGGGTGCCTGTCACTTCTTAGCCATTTTTGTAGGTGAGCTTCTTCACTGCATTTTTCAGTTCTTTGGTTCCACCAGTAAGTACATTTGCACCATTTCTCAGTCTGGATCGAAGCAGAATAGCACCTGAAGGGATCTTGGGCAGGGAAAAGGACAATCCCATTTCCTTCTAGCTACTTGCCTTTCTGTTATAGAGGTTGTGGAGTGACAGAGTCACAGAAATACTGATCAAGCAGCATCCTCAGCAATCATCAGCTCTTAACAGAAACACTTGGAAGACTGTAAAATTTTGAAGTATTTTGTTTTGTAACACATATGTCACAGGACAGTGGTCAGTACAGATTTAAAAAGCAAGAGATTGTTTTTTTCAGCTTTGAACAACCAGAAATCTCCCAAGAATAGAAGGGGGGAGCAGTGGAGTCCCTATGGAGCTATAGGGCACTGGAGCCACTTGTCACCAGTGGTCAGCAGAAGTGTACCTCTATCTATGCTCATACTTAAATATCACCTATGTTAAAAACTGGTACAGAAGTTGGGGGAAAGGTTTATCATGAAGAAGAGGAAGCAGTGAGCAGGATTTTCAATAGCATGCAAATAACTTTGAGGTTTTGGATAACATTCACATAACTTTGTTCTGACACGGCCAAATGTAGGACTGTGAGCCCAAAGAGCCCTCCCGTGAGGGGAGCTCTGTTTGCTTTGACAAAAGGTTGAGGTCTGCACTAGAAGAGCAATTCAGCAAGGTTTGGTAGCTGCAGTCACCGCAGTCCTGAATTGTATCAGAGAATCCATATATCTCTGTATGTGTTTACAAGCCCAATCATGCTTACCATACCGCAGTCCAAAAATTTTTAAAGGTCAAGAAACAGAAAGTACAGAAAAGAGCCGACAGTATCTTGAGGTATTTACAGCTCCATCAGTTTGGATTATCAAAACAGAAAGAGGGGCTGGATTGAGTACAGTCACGTAAGTTACTTTTTCAGGAGGAGACGATACCAAACGCCTCTTTCAGCTCGTGGGGAAGGGGTGCAGAAGCAGCAGCTGGATGCTGACCCATACAAGGTCAAATGAGAAAACAGCAGCTTTAACGGCTGTGTTAAGCTGGACAAAATACCACTGGAATGGGTACAGTGGCCCTCTCTCTCGACACCGTGTTCAAGTATCTTCCCAAAAAGACACCTGGGAAGTGAGATGAGCATATCTGATACCTCTTCTGGGATTCAGAGATTTGCATCCTTTTAGGAGGTAATTCACCACAGGGCAATATTCTGAATGGATGGAGCGGGGCAAAGTTCATGGAAGATTTTGCATTGACTATAATGCCACTGAGCCAGAGAAGAGATTGCATAGCAGTCATACCTTGCAGCAGTGCAAAAGTTGTCCAGAATTGTGTCTGAAAAGTTGGTATCAGAAAAAACAGTAAGTTCAAAGGAAACATTCAGGGTAGGACCCTTTTGGCAATGCAGCAGTGGCTCCTGACATGACCTGCATGGCTACAAATTTGTTGCAGGCAGCAGGCTGTGAACTAAGTTTTGCACTTTTTAGGGCAAGATGTGGTATCCAAATGGTCATTTGGCCTCCTCAAAGGAAAAGCAGCAAAGGCTTGCCATATGCTACATCTGTATTTAGTCAGACAATTAGTAGTGCCCGTTTCTGTATATGCTGTGAGATCCCCAAGATCCTCCTTGAAATTTGAGTATATTGTTCAAGAGCTTTCACAGGTGACCACAGCAACTGTCAGCCTGCAGTGAAAGCTCTGGCCAGGAAAATGGAAAATTGTAGCATGCAGACCCACTTCCTCGGCTGCCGCCGAAGCCTTTGCTTCAAACTTACATTATTAAATGCAATACTTGCTAAGAAGTGGAATTTTTAAAAGCACAGAAGGACATGGCTGTCCCACTGCAATGAGACTTCAACACTGGTTTAAAATTCCCTTTAAGAGGTAATGTTTTCTTGAGTCTGGGCTATAGAAAGAACAACTACCGTCTCAAATGACTTAAATCATACACTTCTCGAGGGAAAAGCTATCAGCTGAAAACCTACGTATTATGGTTATTTAAAATACTTTGTTAAGCTACAGTCAGTTGCAGTGTTCACCAATAATGGATATTAAATGTGAAAAGCCTCGCCTTGTATTGTTTAACTGAATCTGTTGTCATCTTAGGTATTTGTATTATGTTGGTTGGCAGAAGAGAAGATATGTTCCTGTTTTTTTATGCTATGGGTGGATTGTTTGGTTTTTTAAATAAAGTTATATAACAACAAGCCCACACAACTACTTGGTTGCAACAAGTCAAGGGCTGATTGCTCCCAGGCAGAAAACACACCATTAAAACGCACCTTGGTTTCTATATCTCGTAGTAAAAGAATATGACATATAATTTCCCATTTGCACCCAACATTTTAAGGATCACCTAGTTAATTTAGCTTTAAATTATCATTAAATATATTTGTAATATAGTTTGCAGTAAGCTAAGAGATTTTTGTAGAAATAAGTTTTTAATAATCATTACACTGTAACTGTTAGGGAAGCTTACATTGCACACCCTCAGTTTCACACAAAGCCCACGAGCAACTCTTCATGAATGCCTCACTTCGGTACTTTGCAGGCAGGTACATAGCTTGCTCCCTCGCATTGCCCACAGTTCTATTTATTATTTTATTTTGTAGTTCTTTCCATATGGAGATGCTTCAAAGTTTGCCCAGCACGCCTTCCGAACCTTTGATAAAAACGGAGATGGGACCATCGACTTCAGAGAGTTCATTTGTGCCCTGTCCATCACCTCACGAGGCAGTTTTGAGCAAAAGCTGAACTGGGCCTTCAACATGTACGACCTGGACGGTGATGGTAAAATTACAAGAGTGGAAATGCTGGAAATCATAGAGGTGAGACCAATATGATACTTAAAAGTAACATGTCTGAATATTAGTAAAATTTGATTACTCGTTCACATACTCTTTAGATTTTAAGTACACAAGAGGCTGTAGGGTATCGATAAAAGCGTACATTACACACATTCAGTGTACACGGACTCATGCCTACGTGGTGCAAGCACACTAACTTTTGAATAGATGTAATCTGAGAATTACAGAGAATACGTACGTGCATATTAGCTTTTAAATATCCAGAGGTAATTTTTTCCTGATGAACTGATTAACCGTAAAGAACAGCACAGCAAAGGATTTACAAAGCCCATCTCAAAATCACTTGACACCCATGAAATTAGTGGTTTGTAGCTCAAGTAGCTGAAACCTTACTGGAGATTAACTTCAGATGATTACAGAAATTTACAGGGATAACAACAGACTATTTTAAGTGAGCTCTCACAGATGGGCTTTAAGATGACCACAGCATATAACAGGAAGGATAAAGTTGACCTCCCTCATTATCTGCCACAGTACTTAATACCAGATCTTACTCAGATGTACACACAGAAAGCTATTAAAAGGTGATGACTGCTAAAACCGATTATTCAGAACTTATGTGAAATAATTCAATGGAGTGAATAAAATACAAATAAACAGTTGATCCAGAGAATAGGTTGCAACAGTTTTGCACCATGAAACAGAAAGCCAAAGAAATTCATTCCAGGATGCAAAACGCAAGCACCGAAATAAACCTAAAGAAAGTAAAACATGTTCTTACTTGTTTTAAATTTATGGACATCTGATTCTAAGGGTGGGGGGAAGGAAAAAAAACTTTAGGGAAACTGGCAATCGTTTTATTGTTGGACTATCTTTCCAGAATTTGATCACATCAAAAAATCAGGTTGTAATTCTTATGTTGAATTTTCTATTTGGTTTCTTTCCAAAGGCCATCTACAAAATGGTGGGCACTGTGATAATGATGAAAATGAATGAGGATGGTCTGACGCCTGAGCAGCGGGTAGACAAGATCTTCAGTAAGATGGATAAGAACAAAGATGACCAGATCACACTGGATGAATTCAAAGAAGCTGCAAAGAGCGATCCTTCCATTGTATTACTCCTGCAGTGTGACATTCAAAAATGAGCTCGTGTACAATGCATCATAGACTGCACAGAAGTTTAATGTTCCATTCAGTTTGCAGCTATTTCCACACACACAAAAATTTGCTTGGACTACCTATAAATGGACTTGCTTCTTGTGTTTGAAACACTTGTGTGCATGAGAATGTCATTTGCTAAAGAATTTTAAAAGTATATATTATAAAAATAAACTGCCACAATGTGATGTGTGCAATGTCATTTCATAACAATCCTATTCCTCTGAAGCCTGTGCAGCAGTCCTGTGCTGCAGTGAATTATATTATTTATTGTTCATGTTTTACTGATGCTAGCTCTGTGTCTCCTAGACTGAGTAATGTTAGTGACACTGAATTCCCATGGCAATGTTAACTGTTTATTATAAATCATGTCACCATTCTGCTGTAAAGTAGTACTGGACAGACAGAGGGGAAGAGTTCCTCAGCTCTTAAGTCTGATCCACACATGTGCTTGTATTGTCAGTGGATATAAATGTACTTCATTTGCATGCCTTTTAGGTTTGCCTTAATTCTTACCTCATTTGCATCCCTTCAATCTGGAAAGAGCTATGTCAGAGGAATGCAGTATAAAAAAAAAGAAAACCCTGCTAAAATGATCCCTTTAATTAAAAGTATATATAAATATATATATAATGTTTAAAATATTGTTTTATTGGAAGTTTAAAGGTTTTATTGGAAGTGTATTGATCTTTGCCTGAATTTTCAAAAGCTTCCACAGAGGTTGCAATATATATGTCCCAAAATAAATTTATAACATTTGACCTTTTCCCCTAATTCTTATTTCACGTCTTCATCACGGTAACAGAAAAAAAAATTCAATCTCTTTAATTATCTGTCACTGTACTACTGGGAAATATATATTTCATTATGAAAGCATGAAGAAAACTTCTTTCCACTCACTCACTAGAAGAGTCGTATTATACAAAACCAGAAGTAGTAGTTCTTGTATTTACCAACAAAGCAGCTGTTTATCCTCTAAGATGCTAATGCTAAGATTTAACAGTATACCTACTGGACCTGTGCTTACACAACTTTTTAAGCTAGCTCAAAGTCAAATACAGTTTATCTGCTCGGCCTAAACCTGGTCTTTTAATGTTTCTCCCTCCTGAAGTCTTTCCTCTTACCATATGACACTAAACTACCCTGGGTTTAATATAAACAGACATGTTGTCAAAAGTCATTACTGATAAATTAATCATAAAGTATGATGATTGAGAAAGGATAGTGAAAAGAACAGCTTCCTCCTCGATTCTACGTGCAATCAATCAAGTTTATCTCTATCCTGTGGCAAGTACAAGCTCTGTGCAGCCCTGGGAAAGCATCAAGAACTAGCAGACAACAGAAATTGCCAAAAAAAAAAAAAAAAGAGGGGGAAAAAAAAAAAAAATCTTTCCTACACCACATTCCCAGTTGCTTTAAACAGTTGGTTGCTGACAGGATCGCAGAAAAAAAAAAGTCTGAACATCTTACAATTGCATGTTTGATACTTCTCCTTTGCCTTATGAAGAAATGAGACAGTGGTCTTAATAGCTAAAAATCAAGACAATAAAATGACACAAACCAAATCATTCTGTGTTTTTTCAAATTTTAAAAGTGAAGCTCATCTTAAAATCGAGGGGGGGAACCCAAACGAAACAGTTTTACACATTTTGCTAACAAACATGGTGGGGGAAACACAGAATCAATTGTTGCCACAACCAGAGCCATCCTCTCATATTTAAGTTTCTTTGTATTTCAAACAAACAGCAAAAAGCAGAAATTTCAACTTCATTTTTTAATACCAGAATCTTACTTAGACTGCACAGGTAATCTTCTTAGCAAATTAGAGAATGGTATACTTTGTATGTTTGGCTGTAACTTAATAAAACACGCATTCTGAAAATACTACATACTTCCGAGAATGATATGCCCAATTCTTCCACTTAGGCTGAAATTACTAGTTGTAGAGAGCATGTTGAAAATTCCTGGGAATTTATACCTCTTTGGTCTACATATACTTATTAGAGAGAAGCAGTACCTCATTCCACATTTCCCTGCACCTCAAATTTATGTATCTGGACAGGCTCCGCTTACTTTAATGTGGCATTAAGCAATGCATTGCCATCCCAAATGGCCAACAGCTCAAACAGTCACAAACAGTAACATCAGCACCACAATTCTCTCTAAGTAGCTGGTATAGTAAACTCTGGGTTTAAAGTACCAAGAATAAGACAGTTTTGAGACCTTAGGATCACTGCATCCAAGAAAATGCTTCAGTAAATAAGTGCATCCAAGAAAATGCTTCAGTAACTGTTTATTTAGAACTAATCCTCTACCATGTAAACAGTTGCTTATAATAATTATACAGTCAGGCACACATTTTCATCAAGTACAGTGGCAAATTAAAATAAATACAATATATTGATTTGAACCAAAGACCAGAATTGTTGCCAACTGCTCCAATATTTCAAGTAAGTCTATAGGAAACTTGGGAGAAAGTTGAAGTGTTAGCTCAGTAGGAATGTGCTAATTTTCCTTAAGCTCTTTTCTCCACATAACTCATTATAGAAGTACTAATGAAAATAAATGTTTTGCTCTCTCCTGCCTCTGCTTTATTTTCTGGATGCTGAAGAGAATCAGGAGGAAATAATGTTATGCCATTCTATCATTTCATATTGTAAAAGGGTCTGAAACATATTCTAGTTTCATCATAAAAATCGAGTCAAACTAAACATGTGGTTCATGATCATGTAATACTATCGAGATCTCGCAGTACAAACAAACTGGACTTGTGCTCCAGACAAGTTTTGTCAAGTAGGCACTTTGTAGGGGTCCCTCCCCACCTTTTGTGAAAATTGTATTTTCACATAATCCTGAAGTCCTATGTATATTTAATATATATTCCATCAAATAACAGGATTATGGAATTGTTTAGTTTGGTAGAGACCTCCAGAGGTCTCTTGTCCAACCCCCTGCTTAAAAGAGATGCAGCAGTCTAGTCAGACCCCAAGAGCCTCTAAGGATGGAGATTCTACAGCCTTTCAGGACAACATGCTCAAATGCCTCTATCTTCATCATGAACAATCCCTCCCCCTGGTTTATCCAGCCAGAACCTCCCCACTTCAATTTATGACCACTGTCTGTCTCTTCTGTCACATGCTTCAACAAAAAGCCTGGCCCTGTTTTGTCAGTAACCTCCTCAGGGCTGCTGTGAGTCTGTTGCCCCATTACCATGGGTTTTCAGAAGCAAACATCTGAAGCCTTTAAAAGATCACGAGACTTTAGGCATTAAGTCAGAATGCACTAGAGCTGCAGTTAGCTTTCTCAGTGTAGTCCCTTCAATTCTTCACTAGCTTCCGTATTTTAGATAAGTTTAATATGCAAGTTTAATACATGCTTGTGTAAAAACTAAACCTTAAAGAACACAAAATACAGTGCAGCAGCTAAAACCAAATTTGGCTACAAAGTCAAGTTAAAATTTACACTGCAATGAGGTTTTATTGAGTAATTTTTATTTGGTAAATACCTGTAGAAACTGCAGAACTATTCTCTGAATAATCTCAATGGCTTTTGTATCATCATAACACAAAAAAAAAAAGCATGCCTAATGCTGTACTCAAAAAAGTGATTGTTTTTGAAGAGCTCCCAACAATTTCAAGTTCCTGGAGAAAGGAAAACAGGAAAGTAAGTTATTTTGGGGCAGTTTCAACAACCTAGTTCTTTCTCCCTCTTATCCCAAATAAATGCTTGTATTATTTAACTAAAGCAAGTTTATTTTAACTACTCTAGTATAGTCCTATTGGAGGAGGGGAGGGGAGAGGTGGCAGGAACACCCAACAACACACAGGCCTACAATGCTGTAGAAAAGTTACTGTATTATTTCTCCAAATTCTTATTCCACTTCATTCCTCTATATTGGAAGGACTTCCATTATTCTAGTTTGTTACAATATAATGAATATCTACAGACTTAGTCTATACCTGCAAACTCAGACTGTGCAAGAACTTAGTTTATTGGAAATAAGAATCTAAGTTTATAAAGCCACAATTTGCTAGGTTTTGTATGCTCATGTCCAAAGAAACTATAGTTCTTCCCTATAGACTCTTTCGAAAGAAATAAAAGCACTTTCTTCCTGCCCAGAGACTATACTGCAAATAAATTCTTGACATCTCTAATTATGAAAGTATACAGTATAAGTACTAATAGTTCCTCATGTTCAGCTGCTTCCACTGGAAAAAAAATGAAACATGTTTTACTGCACGTATTAATTAGCATACATTTAAGAAATAAAGCAGAGCTAGAAAGAAACCAACATTTTTAACTTAATACTAATTTTAAGTGTGTAGAGACACTAAAACATTACCACAAGTATCAGTTCTCACCGTTTATTAAAATATTACTCCATAGTTATACACAATATATTTCATATTTTCCAGAATAATAAACAGAACAACTGATAAAAAAATTCTACTAGTTGGTAGTTAAAAATACCAACTGAACATTCGGGATTTTCTCATCAGAACTGTGCTTATTCTAGGTCTGTACACAGACAGTAGTTCTGTAAAAAAAGAATTTGAAAATTAAAAAAAATATACAGGAACCTCTTGTTTTCCTGAGGTATCTAACAAAAGATCCTTTTATCCAGCATCAGGAATTAGTAACTTTACACACATCATTACACATTTACCCTCAGTAATATGCCATATTCATGCACAGAGGTACTTATTGATCTTCCTCTTTGTCATTCCTATTTTGGAAATTCAACGTTCTTTGGCCTCTTTCTGGGTCTTGCATTCGGAGGATTCGAATACGGGAACTCGTAGGCAGAGAACTAAAAATAAAGTATGCATCATTTAAACAGTGTTTCTCCTCCACAAGTTTTAGTATTTGCATTTGATTCTTTCCATTACATATTTTCCTTTAAATAACTCCTTTTTTCTTTGGCAGTTTTAAAAACTAGTAACATGGTGTGAAGTTCTGGCTTCACTGAACTGATACTGGAGCCAGACTTCAGTAAAAACTTCAGGTAAAGACAATGACTGATTTCAGTCATGTGACTTCTAACAATTAGACTACCTTAATTATGGAAAAGGTTATTTTAAGAGAAACTCCAAATGAAATAATAATCAAATATGGTTCATATTTGCCTTACAGATCCTGCAGTGGCACACATTTTATACATGTATAATCATGCACATCATACTAAGAAAACTTACTAAACATACATTTATACAGGATTCTCCACCCATTATCTTAAATATATTTTTTCCTGAAGGTGCCTCCTTACTATTGTTAAATTAGTTTGCTGAACATACATGTGAACAAACATAACATAACCAAGCTGCACGTGAATTATTAAACAGTAACCATACAGAAAATTCCTGTATGTTTATTGAATACAGTTTCAGAAATTCCCCCCAGTGCATTTCCATTGAAATAACAACAGGCTACCATTATTCTACTTTTTATAGATTTTAGTAAGGGAAGACAACTAAGAATAAATCAACTTCATTTTGAGGACTGACTGCTTAATTATCCTCTGCAGGCTTCACTGATTATGTTTGGCTGAGAGAAGAGTGGGCTGAATAAGGTTAGACAGTGACTGTCCCCTTAAGATGGACGTGGCTTTACCAGGGACTTGTATGTAGGGTTTTTTTTAAGAATTTTGGGCTACTAGATTAAAAAAAAAAAAGTAGTAAGGAGTAAGTTATCAGTTTCTAGATCAGTGATATAAAAAAAAAATCATAACTCAATTGACAAACTTCTTGAAAGTACTGTTAGTATTAATAGGAAAAACGGAAAAATGCAAGGGCTTCTGTTAATTTTGGGAGGGGAGAGG